CAAGATGACCCCAGCTAGATGCTTGTCCAGTCTCTTCTTGAAGACAGACTGCCAAGGTAGAGGATATCACCACCTCCCTTGGAAGCCCATTCCAGATTCTGGCAACCCTTACAGTGAAGAAGTTCTTTCTGATGTCCAACCTAAATCTGCTCTCCATCAGTTTGTGGCCATTATTCCTAGTTACTCCAGGGGGTGCCCTAGTAAATAGAGCATCTCCTATTCCCTGCTGTCCTCCCATGATGAATTTATAGGCAGCCACAAGATCACTTCTCAGCCTTCTCTTGCAAAGGCTGACGAGATCTAATTCCCCTAGTCTCTCCTCGTAGGGCTTTGCCTGCAGGCCTCTGATCATACGAGTGGCCTCCTCTGAACCCTCTCAAGATTCTCCGCATCCCTCTTAAAAAGTGTGGCGCCCAAAACTGGATGCAGTACTCCAACTGTGGTCTGACCACTGCCGCACAGAGGGGAAGCATCACCTCCCTGGACCTGTTCGTCATGCATCTGCTAATGCACGATGAAATGTAGTTAGCCTTGTTGATCACTTCATCACTTCGTCACATTGACGACTCATATTTATCTTGGAGTCAACTATGATTCCATGATCCCTTTCCACTGTTATGCTGCTGAGAAGGTTCTCTCCCAGCCTGCAAGTGTGTTGGTGGTTCTTTTTGCCCAGGTGCAGCACTTTGCACTTGTCTTTGTTGAACTGAAACCTATTTCATTCTGCCCATTTCCCCAACCTGTCCAGATCTGCCTGGATCCAATCCCCACCCTCTGCTGTGTTAACTTTGGCCCATAATTTGGTATCATCTGCAAACCTGGACAGGGTGCTCTCTACGCCTTCGTCCAAGTCACTGATGAAGACATTGAATAGCACCAGTCCAAGAACCGAACCTTGCGGGATTCCACTGCCTACATCTTTCCAGGTCAATATCAACCCGTCCACCACCACTCTTTGGGTGCGACCCCTAAGCCAATTTGCCACCCACCTGACTGTGTAATCTTCTTCATCAGAGCCTGTCAGTTTATTTACGAGAACGGAATGAGATATCGCATCAATCGCCTTCTTAAAGTCTAGGTAGATGACATCTACCTCTACTCCTGCGTCTAAGTATTTTGTGACCTGGTCATAAAAAGAAACAAGGTTAGTCAGGCAGGATCTACCTGCAATGAACCCATAACGATTGCCTTTCAGCATTATTTCCCCTGCTGGGCTCCCACAAATGTGATTCTTAATGATTTTTTCTAGAAAAAAAAAAGTGTGTATCACTTTTGGAGGAAATTCAACATTTTGGGGAAAGATACTACCCACAAACTGTATTCTTCCTCCACAAACACAAACCAAGTATAGCAAAAGCTGTGTTAACTGGCATGAGTGGAGAATGGGGGGGTGCCAGGTATCTAAACATTCTGGTTATCTGAGGCAGAAATTTTCAACATTTTTGAAAACCCCTGCGGAGTTGGGGGTGAGGGTGGGGGTGGTGGCAGTGGCTGCGTGTGGGGTGGCGGCAGTACAGGGTGGTGGTGGTGGTGCAAGCTTCCCCCGCCTCTCCCACCATGTCCAGCCTGCTGGAAATTCTGGTTAGAATATTCTGGCTGGCAGAATACCTGTTAACACAGCTTTTACTGGATGTGCAGAAGAACCATTCAGCTCTCCAGCTTGTCTCTTACTTAGGACAACTCTAATAAGCCACAGTTGGTCACAACCCATTATTATACCATTTCATCAGCTTCATAACTGTATTAGAGATTTTACAGGTACCTCAATAACTGTCATTCCAATTTTCTGGCACAGATTCAATAACTAATGATTTGCGGGTGGATTGCTGCAATGCTGTGGAGCTTCACTGAAGTCAAGAAGCCTACACATATACTGTAAATTGCAGCATCCTGTCCTCTATTTCTTAGGTATAATATGTTTACTTCGTTTCATGTGATTAAACATAAGATTAGATACACAGAAATATTAAAGGCGAGGAGCATTTTTTTGGCAGGCTGATTTAAGTATACACATCAGCTGTTTTGAAACCGCTCCAAGGTTTATCATTTGAGTAGTAGCATCCTTAGATTAGAGAGGAGAGGCCAAGTGACATAGTTAAAGCTGCCTAATAATTCATTACATAGATCTGTACAGAGTCATTTCAATATCAGTTCCACATACATAATTACATCTATTTTTAGCTCTGTAAACAGAAAGCCCGCAGCCTGTATGTCTAAAATTTCAAATTTCTGAGTAGGTTTTGAATCAACATCATTGCTCTTTCACTTCAACAACAATGAAAATGACGATTGTTGTTGTTGTTATAAAATACAAACTGTTTTCTACTATTTTTTTCAAAATGTAGCTGTTGCTGTTCAAACCTGAATCAGCAATAATCTTTCCTGACACAATTAAGGTAAGGTGTCACGGGACCAGAAACGTGGGGTGGAAAATTTTCCAGTGCTTTGTTTTTCCATGGGAAATTTTCCATTTCTAAAAATTCATTGTTTCATAAAATTCATTAGTAACAATGAATGGATGCCAATACAATATTAAGCAAACTTGCCAGTTTCAAAGTTGTAATTAATGTTTTTCAGGTGATTATCCCTAGGAAGTGTGCGAGACAGAACATGCATGTTTTATTGATTTGTAAACAGGATGGTAAATACACTCACATAATAATCCAAACCAAAAATCAAGTTATGAATTCACCTAATTGGCTGTGCAGGTCAAATCAAAACCAAAGATAAAAATTTTTATTTCATCTCAGGACCGCAAGTGAAAGCAAAACTAAAACTAAAACTGTGATTAATTTTTATTTCACTTTCAGTTCAGCAAACACACAGAGCAGTGTCTCATTTCTCTTCTTGAGTTGGGGAAGTTGGAAGTGTTTGTATAAGATCTGCTAGTTTTTTAGTGCTTTTCGTTTGAAATAGTCATAATAATGCCTGATCAGAAAAAAAAAAAAATAGTGTGTCGCATCATTATAGTGAAGTTCATACCACTGAAGGAAGGAACAAAAATTTGGTAGATGTAAATATTGTGGGCAGGAGTATGCTAACAATGCAAGAAAAATGAAAAAACATTTAATAACATGTAGAAACTGTCCTGAAAGAGTACAAGCCATATACAGAAAGCTAATACAACCAAGTGGTGGAACAACATCATTTGAGAAAAGTCTACTTTAGGAATCCTATGCAAGTAAACAAATTAATATGTTAAAACAGGGGGTCAGCAACCCTCAGCATGCATGCCAAGCATGGCATGCAAGGCAATTTTCCTCAACACACATTGGGGCCGGGGCCAGGAAGGCAGCAGCTGTTTGCAGCCTCCAGGCTGCAGCAGACCCCAGCCGACTCTGGGGAGGCAGCAGATACTGGCAAAGCTCCCTGTTGTGCTGCCCTCGCTGCCGCTTCTGCAGAGCAGCATTGGAACCCAGCGCGGCAGGGCACAGCTCGGGGTGCAGCAAGCTGCCTGCCACTCTGAGCTCCCCGCTGCCCTGACCACACTTCCCCTGCAGGCGGGGGCAGCATGGAGGAGCACAACCCTGCATGCTGCCCACGCTGCTCCCATACACACAGGGGAAGTGTGGCCCAGGCAGCACAGAGCAGCAGTGAAACGTTGAAACAGCCTTTCGGTTTCGATGGAATGGAATGGAACAGCTGTTTTGAATCCAAATTAAATTTGAAATGGAACGCTGTTCTGTCAAAACGGAACAGTGCCGTTTCGCACAGCCCTAGTATTTGGCTGTCTTGCTTATGGGTTGAATCTTCTGGCAAAGGACATAGTAAGTGTGAATACAATTCAGACAATACTGGCAAACTGCAAAGTGGTTGTGAAGGTATTCAACAATCATCATGTTGCTAATCAGACTTAGAAGGAATTACAGAAAGAGAAGCAGGAAAAGGAAAGTGCACTTTTATTGCCAGAAAAAACTAAATGGGGCTCGGCTACAAAGTGTTTACACACAAAGTTTTCTGCACACAAAGAACTGTTTGCAGTGTGCTTCAATAGATGATGCAGTATCTCAGATTATTCCCGTGAACATTCAGAAGCAGATTCTCGACAAAGATGTGTTCTGGGTTTGAGGTCAAGAAACATTCAATTTGCTACTACCAGTTTCAGTGGCTATCAAGAAACTTGAGGGAGATGCACCAAGCCTTTCAACATTCCAGAGTTATTCAGACAACTGAATGAAAATCTAACTGAGCTTTTGCCTTCTTCACCTCTATCCAAAAAGAAGTAGTAGTAAAACAAATGTTTACTAAGAGATCTGAGTTTTGCTCTCATCCAGTTCATCTGGCAACAAACCTTTTGGATCCTCAACACAGAGGACACCATTTATCAGAAGATGAATTATCTACTGCTCTCAGTACAATTATGGAAGTAGCTAAGAATGTCTCCAACATTGATGAAACAGCCGTAATGATAGACATTGCCAAGTACCACAGAAAAGAAAAACTTTGGAGCAAAGCATCATTTGGCGGGCAGCAGAGAATATGTCTCCTCTCCCATGGTAGAAGGGATACTGTAACACACGACTGTTGTCCAGGTTCGTGCTAAGGATCCTAAGCATTCCACCAACAGCAGCTTCCTGCGAACAGAACTGGATGGCTTTCAGCTCAATCAAGACAAAAAAGAGGAACAGACTAACAAACGAACACACCGTAAAGCTTGTTTCTATTCCTCAAAATCACTTCTCCTCAATTAGCGAATAAGATGCAGTGTGTTGATAAGTTGCCCTTGCCCGTAGGCTCTGTGTTGAACCACATTCTCTTTTGCTAAAGGATGGTTTTAAGTAGTTCTGAATCAGATTTGCCTCAATCTGATTCTGAAATGGCACTAGTAAGTAATGCAAGTGATTCTACAGATAGTGACAGTGAAACTGGAGGTGCCTCAATGACCTCAGTGGAAGAGAGTTAAACTGCTGAAGTAGATGAGAGGACACCTAATCATACACAGTTCTTTAGGTGTGTTAAAATTAGTGTCAACAGTTTTCAGTGCCTTCGGTTTTTTATCTTAAATTTAAACAAACAATGTATTTACTTCAGAGTTTATTGATTTTGTACACCCTAAAAGGGGTGCACGTGTAGATGCAGAGACATTTACTACGGAACTAATTAGGCAGCTCTACAGTAAACATTTTGTGTAGACATACCCCTAGAAATATAAATGGCAGCAACTCCAATTGCTCCAGAATCTTTCCTATCAGGTGCTGAACTAATCATAGAAAACCACAGCTCTGTCTCTTCCAAATGAACTAGAACAATTACATTTACGAACTTCGGACTTACCATGCAGAAGCTAACTGATCCAACACAAAGCACTGCATCTACTTGATCATGCCCACTGTGATAATAGCCCATCTTAAACCCATTCAATCTGGCAGTAATTCCAGGATTGCTGAAAAGCTCTCAATGGGCTAGGACCATTGACAACATGCAAGTGTTGACAATGGAGGGACACAACTCTATGCTGCTGTGACCACTGCCACTGCTGCCAGGCGCTGGCTCTGACAGGACTGCAGTCCCACACCCCGCAGCCAGCACAGAAATCACACTGCCGCTGCTGCCCCCGCTGCTGCCAGGCCCTGGCTCCAGCTGGGCTGGAGCCCCATGCCCCACACTGCACTGTCAGTGCAGAAATCTGAGGGGAACATCCCCCACAATGCATCACCAATGACTAGGACCAATCTGTTCTGAAAAGAGCTTCTCCCTCCAAGAGACTGACCTCTGCAGCCATAGTTAGTTGGAACTGCGGCAGCCGATGGAAGCCAGGTTTAAAACTCCAGGGGGATGGAGGCTGAGTGTTTCTGACATTGACCCAGGACTGTGGAACAACCCGACAGCGAAGGACTGGGATAAACCCAAGGCTTGCCACATTTCCAATACAATGAAAGATTGACCTGTTTTTACAAGAAATCCTAAAATATATATAAGTACACAAATACTAGACGCTCCCTAGGATACAAACAAATCAAAAACAGCAAAATCTGAAAAAATAATGAGCACAATACTTTTGCATTGAAA